TATGATTTATCGGATGAAATTTCAAATAAAATATAATGACACTTTCTTAAAACACATTTAATTTTCTTTCTTTTACTTCACTTTACGTTTTCACACTCCTGAAGATGGCACACGTGAGTCGAAAGTTTAGACTTTGGATATCTTTTGCATCTGCAACAACCTGGTTTGCAGAACGAAATTTGCAATATAGAAAAGACGATAGATAAATTCAACAGACATAGAATATATATGTGGGTGAGGGTGTTCTGATTCCTTCATGTCAACTAACATATGTTTTATCTTCATTGGTTCAACTCGGTTTTATCTAATGCCTGTCTCTTTAAGTGTGATGCAGTTTTCATGAGAAAGCAAGATTGCAGCTTTCAGGGAAGCATTCCCTTGGGAGTTTGTTCCATAAAATAACAGTTCCGAGCAAGAAGTTTTTTCAGTGGAACTTGCTTTTTATCAAAGGAACACGAAGGAAGTAGGAATGGCCGGTCCTAAGTGCGAGAGTCTGAGTTGGTGGAACTTAGGAATTGCCGAACGTTTCAATATGTCTTTTCTTCTTTTATGCGTTGCACCTTTCAGGACGTAGGCGATCACGACTCTCCACAACTCTTGTGTTCCTCTAAGTAAATTCAATTCTTTACAAACCCTCTTCCTATTAGCTCTCTCATCCATTCAAACAATTTCGTCAAGTCGGTTACTCTCTGTTTCCTTGCTTCGCTTGCCTTCAGTAAGTCCTGTGAGTGTCATATTCTCCATGCCCTCATTCCTCATTACGCTTTCTAGAAATTTCCGCTGTTTTTTCTGGTTATAAACAAGTTTCTTTGTTATATGTAGGTGTGAACAAATTACTATATATAGATAGATATGAACAGACTGAGATAGATAGATAGAAACGAACAGACTACGATAAATAGATAGATAGATAGATAGATAAATAGATAGATATGAAAAAACTGCGATAGATAGATAGATCTGAACAGACTACGAAGATACATAGATGTATGCAGTCTGAGAAAGATAGATATATAGATAAACAGGAACAGATTGCAATAGATAGATAGATAGATAGATAGATAGATAGATAGATATGAAAATATTGAGAAGCATAAATTTTTCCTTAAGACTTCTTCGTTAATTTATGTTCTGTCTTTGGTATTCTCACTATTGTTTCACGTTTCCTCTTTATCAGCCATATTAAAGATTAAACAGTACATAGCAGTTCAACACTCTTTTCTTTGTTTGTAATTAATTTTTCGTATCTCTAATACTTTGCTTAGTTTCTGGAAACCATTTTTCACCATTGCAGTACACCTTCGGTTATCCGCGTCTGTCGTAGAGTAAATAAGACACCACCGGTAACACAAATGAACTAGGCAAGACGCCTTAAATAAAGAACTCAAAGTGAATCAATGGAGTCAGGTAGTTCGTTGGCAGGCTCGTGGCTGACTTGTCGAACGCTCTGACTTCGAGCAGACGAGGTTATGCGTACAGGCTATCTTGTCTGGAGTGATAGACAAACCAGACCGCGTGTATGCGGGGTCTATGGGGAATCTTTACCCGAGCCTACGGGCTCGGAATCGTCCCACGTAAAAACCGGCCTTGCATTGTGGGGAGATTTGGTAAATACTAGACATCGAACTCATTGCCTTCGGGCAGAGAGGAACCCAGATGAGGTTATGCCTATGGGCAGAGTCTCATCTGGGGTAGTTGTTGGTAAATAGTAGGACAAACTGGGTTTTGTAAGCCTTGGGTGGCAACCAGTCTAGGAGAAGAATATTTCTGAATTTAACATTGTATGTAGAAGAACATACTATGCGGCTAAAGGAAAGGATCATTGACTTGATGATCCCGACTACACTGGATTCCTTATATTTTGGCTGTGCACTCTTCGACCTTCTACGTATGTGTTTTTGTTCTGGAATATGATCGAATCTTCTTCTGTGAATTCCTTCCCATACACGCCGTTTCGATACTAATGCTTGTGTGTGTGCATGTGTGTGTGTTTTATATATATATAATTTATCTTAATCAAAATAAATCCAGGATAGGTGATGAAAAATTCTTGGCTTGATCCACTTATGAAAATCTGACTAAATGTCCAAATATCAGATTTTTTTTAATGTTTTTGGTGGAATTGGAAGGACTTCCTGGTCGGGTCTAGAATTTTTTTAAGCGGCACTTCGTACAATGAGAATTACTCTACGTCGCGATTTGGATCATCTGGTTGTTTAGCCAATAAATAACTCATTTTTTTTTCTCAAAACATTTTCCATCTGAACTTTAAGAAAATGCTGCTCGCCAGATGTTAGAATTCCTAGAAACACACGTGCATGACTATATAATCTAAAATCTCTCTCTCTCCGTCTTTCTCTCTATATATATATATATATATATATATATATATATATATATATATATATATATATATATATATATATATATATATATATATTAGGAATAGTGTGGCGTTCTCTATAAACAGGCAATATCTTTCGTGCGCAGTTCTCAAATTTGGTATGTATATTTATTGGACCCAGGGAAGAGTTTAATGATAAACACTTTTTGTTCGTCATTTACACACACACACACACACACACACACACACACACACACACACACACACACACACACACGCACGCACGCATGCATACACATATATATATATATATATATATATATATATATATATATATATATATATATATATATGTAGTATGTAGAAATTCGATAGTGTGGTCGATGTTATTAAGCTTTTTATGATGTTTGTTAGGTTTTTATTTTGTTGATATATTAATAAGACGTCATCTATAGATCTGAGCCAAGTGGATGTTTTAGGTAAGATATGTTTAAAAATAGATCAGATTAAATAAACTATAAGAATGAAACGTGATGCAAGAACACCGTTGATGTGGGATCCCATCGTTAAATCGAATTTGAGATGTAAAAATTGTTGTTGAAAGAAAAGAATAGTTAATATATATATTTATGAAATGGGCCAAGTCCGACAATTATTTTAACATATTGTTTGTTTATACGTTCTTTTTATAGATACAAATATTTAAGCAAATGGACTGTTTATAATAAACAGTATTAACAACATTTCGCGGTCTGAATGTCCGGGAAATTTTCATAGAAAATATGTGTTCTCCGACAGGAATCGAATCTATATCCTACACGGAACCGTCATATAGACTGACGGGCTATACCATTTACCTACAGAGGAATGCACTAATTTGACCTTGCTAACCAGACGCTTTCTCTAATAAACTCCTTCAGAGGGCGAATATTTTTCTTTATTCATATATATATATATATAGTTTTCTCATATATATATATATATATATATTTTCTTATATATATATATATATATATATATATATATATATATATATATATATATGAGAGAACGATATATCAATTTTAATATATCAAACCACAACGTGGGAAATGTTTAGTCTAACAAAACGCGTCACAAAAATATTTTCCCCACTTTGTCATAGATTTATCTCTCCCTTTCCTCTGTCAATCTGTCTGTGTCTCTCTTTGTCTCTCTGTATTTTTCTTTCTTTCTCGATATATATATATATATATATATATATATATATATATATATATATATATATATATATATAAGAACTTCTTTGTCAAGTTGAGAAATTTTTTACCACCCTCTAGTAAAATGTGAATTCTTCTTCGACATTTGAACTAATTGCTTTTTAACTTGTTTGATCTGAAATTTGGCAAATGTTGCTAGATTTGCTAGATATTATAATTTTGACTTGATTTTCTTCTTTCTCTTCCAACTACGACTTAAATAGCAGGGAAGATTTGGTTTTCTAGCCTTAGACTAGAATCATTCTAAGAGAGGGTCAAATCTTGATTCTAAATCGTCGAGTAGCCAACGGGAAACTCCAATGGCTTTCCCAAGAATGCATGGTAATTCACTGATAATAAATGATTGCGTGTAGAACTATGATTGCCCATGTCATGAAATAAAATGGCGTTAAATCACTAGTCATGACTTGAAGCCAGTCTAGGAGAAGAATAATAATTTTGGAGAGAGAACAGTGCACTAGGAATCTTGCGGTATTCTGACCTGTCCATAATCATTGCAATAGAGTTCTAGAAAATTCAATGAACAGTCAGTCCAAGGCCAAACCAAGGTTGAAAACAAAAGACTTGGTTCTGGAAAATCTCGAAATAAATTTCTCAATAGGGGCAAAGAGTTAGTTCCAACTATCATAAATACTCCTGAGGTTATTTAATCCTCATTAGACAAGGAATGGCACTTTGCAACAAACTTTACCTTTTATTGTACGTTAGATAACAATGGTCACCCCTTACATGACTTACTTCTTCTCTCAAGCACAAACTTTTTAATATCCAGACTTATCAAAAGCCTTTATAAAGGTTATCGGCCCGGATAAAACCCCCAGTGATTGTCCTTAAAAATAGCAACTCAGAGTTATCTTCCAATCTATTAAACCTATAACCTTAGGGAGGAACTTTCCAAATCTATGAAATATATCAACTGTATGTTCCTTATTTTTAACAATGAGAGTGAGATCTCATTCCCGTCGCAATAACAACCTATAAGCTTCTTTAGCAAACTTTTCGATTCTATAATCAATAAGTAAGTTGTTGAACACCTCAACAGGAACAACCTCCTGAGGGATAGCCAGTATGGGTTTCGCTCTCTTGGAAGTTCACTGCTTATCTTATAACTATCATTACTCACAGTTGGTTGAAATAGCTAAATGTAACCGCCACTTCTACTCCAAAAATTTCTTTTCTCCAACTTCCCGCCTGTGGAATTTCCTTCCGTTTACTTGCATACCTGATAACTATATTCTTAAGTGTAACGTCAATCACCATCTTCTGATGTCTTGAACCCCGTTCAGCTTTTATCCTTTCCTCATTCCCTCCTATATATAATTTTTCTCTCACCTTCACTCTATGTAACCCCCAGCGAACCTGTGGCACTCCCGCCTTTCTTAGGGTGAAACGCTAAAAAATGTTTTCAACTAAATATATTTTGAACGCAGTTGTATGCCTTCAACTACAGATAAAATGTATTTCTGAGCATTTTGCTTTAAAATATACTCATTGTATTTCTACTATAAATATACTATTGTTATTTCTACTTTAAATATATTTTTGGTATTTCTACTCTCAATATATTGTTGGTATTTCTACTATAAATATATTGATGTTATTTCTATTACAAATATGCATTCCTGGTAATTTCAGTACAAATATATACTGGTGGTCATTTTCTTATACTAATATGTATTTCTGATATTTTTATACTTTTGTAAGAATCCTTCTACTCGGTTTTTCGTTGAATGTTAAAATTTGGAGTGTCGGGATTCAATACATTAACAAAATATCGTTACAGGGTCGCTCGTAATTTGGCCGTCTAGAATAATCGAACGATTTTCATTGAAGGAATAAAATTCAGTAGAAAAGACAACGTAGTTTCAACAAATAAACATTAATTTAATATAACGACAAGAATACAAGCAGTTGATGATAGATTGGAAAATAATGTCTTTTTGTTTGGGTTAAAGTCCTGAAATAAAATATAAACTGTCTTTGTGCACGTATGTGAGAAATAATAAAATGTTTTGATATGTGTGTTTGTATGAAAAAGTCAACGTGTGTGTGTGTGATTCATAATGAAAGCGGAAACGAGAGATAGGAATTGTTTCTTACTGTTGGCGGTGTTACTGTAGTCTTTTAGCATGAGGTCATGAAGATCATCAGCGAGAGGTGCGTGTAGTTTGGTGACAGCCGCGTGTATCCCTGTTTGGGAACGGATTTCGTATGTTTTTATACACTTTTTCCGAACAAAATCGGCTCCAGAATTAAATTATGTATTCATTCCTAATTGGCCCTAAAAGAGCACGTCGTATGTCTTCTACTACGTCCGTACTATATTTATAACATCATTCAGTGTTGTGGAGTGATTTCACAGTGGAGGCTTGTATTTGTACTAGGTCGGTCCTAAAATAGGTTCGACGTACAAAACGTTAGGAACTTGATATAATAGGTATAACGCAATCTAGTTGTGGTCGCTGATACTTTAGTATCCGACTAACGGTCGTCCGGCATCGACTGATAGACCGTCCCACTGAGCGACTTCCTCGTTACTCTTACTACTCCTACTTATTATAGGTGAGAGAGTCTATTAACTATAGAATAGGTGTGTTCCACTATATTCAGTAACCCTCTGCCTTGAGTGGCTCTTGGGCATGTATTCGGGAATAATTAGTCAAAAGGGAAAAAAGGCAATGTGAATCATTCCACAATCTTTCACAAGAACGTCAGTGAAGGGTTAGGATCGCCTACGTCCTAAAGACAAATGGCCATTTTTTAAAAGATTTTTCTTTCTCAAAAGCAAATTGAACATTTTTGCAACGTTTTTAGATTATTCCTGAATATCCGATGAACATTTCTCAGACGTATTTTTGAAATATTTTTGTAAAAGAAAAATTGTTTCATTTGCTTTTTTTATGGCTTATCAACCTTTTACAGGTTATTTAAAACTATAAACTATTTTTAGATTGTAAGAATATTTAAGAGATAATATTGATTTGCTGATACAAGTCTTATTAATTAACCAACATATGGTGGGGGGGATGAGTCAGATCATAAATTTCCCAAGGGTATTTGCGCGTGAAGGAATATAACAAACCCGACTGGAATTGGAACTCGACTGTACGATTTCAAATTCGTTATACACCACACCAGCTACACATCCAAGCTTACAGTACCTGTTTTTCCCAAGCGGTCACCCAGCTAGGTACTGACCAGGCTGGACGTTGTTTAACTTCGGTGATCGTACGGGAATTGGTCTTTCAACGTGACATGACCGGAAGCTGTAAAAGAAAAAAAAAATAGCTGCTGTGCGAAATGCCGAGATAACAGTAGAAGCGATGATAGAAGGAAGGAACAGAAATCTTTGGAGGTGGAAAGCCACCAGAAGTTGTCAGCGGATGTCGGGTCGACGTGCACGAGCCGAGATAAGGGTTGGTATTTGTCACATGGGGAGTTGATGCGCCACAGAAATCTAAATGACGTATTGGAATAGTGAAAGATGCTTCCCCCAAAACGGCAAAGTATTAAGGAAAAGGAACATTTTATTAGTTCTGAACTGATATACAAAAGGGCTGCAAAAATATTTCTAAAATAATTTCATTAATTTGTGTATAAATCCTGAAAATTTCACTAAAATCTGACAATTATTTGATTTTTGCAAGAATTTTCAAATTAATGTGTCTGTCACCGCAAAAAAGAGGCTACAATTTGCTATGCTAAAAGTTAGTACAAACGCTGACGTAAGAAAAACAAGTTTTTTAATTAGAATTTCAAATGTTCTAAAAAGGAGTTAAAAAATTTAGTTATATATTCAAAGAATACTTTGATCTTTCCTCTTAATAATTACAAAACTTTCGATGATAAGATTGTTTTTTCATTACGTTTAGTACATTTTTTCATCAGAGTATGCTAAATTTTTTAGCGATTTTGTGGCAGTACCTATTTGAATCCCTAAACTATTTTAGATTGTAAGAATTTTTTGGAGATGATAATGATTGCTGATACAAGTTCTACTAATTAATCAATATCTAAGTAGGTATACAGTAATCAATACCATTATTGGTTTGTATAATGAATAAAATACGTTTTGAACGCGTTTTTTTTAATGTATACTTAATTTTGCACCACCTGTATGGCAGTGAATGCTGGACAATTTCCTCACAGATGAAGAGGACACTTGAGACAACAGATATCGTTCTATAGACGGATACTGTGAACAACATAATCGGAACATGTGTTTAATGAGGAAGTTTCAAGAAAATTACGAACATTTTTGTTTACGCTCGGAATCAGAGAGAGACGGTTGAAATTTCTGAAACACATAATTTCTGGAAAGAGAGCTTAACCGGAAAGTAACACTGGCTGCTCGGTCAATGAATGCTTGATGCTTCTTTATAAGGAGACGTCTATTTTTACCATTAGATGAGGAAAACAGATACTACACTTTTATTACAGCCAGGAAATGAAGAAAATCATAACTCGAGAAGCACTGGTTGCCCGGTCAATGAATGCCGAATGTCTCCTTATAAAGAAACATCTAATATGACCATTAAGGTTACCATTAGTAAATACCAATATAAACAGCCCGGATGTTTGTCAAACGTGATCTGATTTGCTGGTTGTTATCAAAAGGGGAGTAACTCATGCATTTCAAATCTTGTTAAAGTCAAGGTCGTATTTAATTACAAGTATGTTAAATGTCTTCTTTTTTATCGAGATACGAGCAAAGTTATCAGAAAACTGTTGCCTTTCGAGAAAACATTAAGCAATTCAGATATTTTTTTCTTGCTTTATCAAGAAAATGTCATTTGAAACTGATTTTTATACAGATTTCTTTTTCTTTTCTTTTTTTTTACGTTAAGTCTTTCTTTCCGTTCCAAGTTCCTATTTCTTACGTTGGCCCGAACATAAGACGCTGATTGGTTAATGCTAAAAATGAACATTCCTTGTCTAGGATGCTGTAAAGGTCTATAACAGAAGCAAAACAGCGTTGTTTCCGAAGTATACACACAATCCTTATACTAGAGATTTAAATTTCGGCTTATAAAAAAAAAAAAAAAAAAAAAAAAGAAAAGATTGCTGGCCAAAAACCGTTTGCAGTTTATTTAAAATCAGAAAATAAGTTTTTAGATTACGAGAATTTTTTTGTAGGGAGATTTAATGATTTCTCTGTTTAACGACATATGAACACCTTCATGGGTCATTTAATACCGAAATTTAATTTTATTGGGAACTTTGAAATCCATAGACGGATATACAATATGATAGGTCCACATCTGGCATCTCGTCGACAGTCACTTTCTCACAGACGTGCTGTGGCTTCCCTCTGTCTTTTCAACAAATATGTTCACGGCAGCTGCTCTGATGAGCTACTTTCACTGGTACCTCAAATGCTTGAATTTAAGCGTGCTACTAGGTTGGCATCTCGGTCTCACCCTTTCAGTGTCGAAACAGTTAAATGTAACCGCATCTTCTACTTCAACAGCTTCTTCTCTCGTACTTCCCGACAGTGGAATTCCCTTCCTCCTACTTGTTTCCCTTATAGCTATAATCTTCAAATATTCAAATGTAATATCAATCGACATCTAATAATGCCTTGATCTTGATCCTCGTCCTTCTCTTTATCCTTTTCTAAAACAACCCTCTTTACTCTTGCTCTGACTCTCTGTAACCCCTTGCGTGTTAGTGGCACTCCCACCTTTCTTGAGATTAAAGGGTAAAAAGAATAAAAATTATATATATGTTATTCTGCTTTCACAATTGAATACATGGTAGATGATACTCAGCTTTTGTATATATACATGTTTGTGTGGAAATAATTCCCAGAGGCCGTGATGTGTGATTTATGTTGTAGATTTGTTGAAGTCATATTCTAGAATACAGTTTGATTTCTTTAAGAAATTGTTGGATATTATAAGGATTAATATCATGAAAGAATTCTTTCATGTTGGTTGATGTATTGTTGCTAATTTTACTATAAATAGGCATTGGTGGTAATTTTTTTATATACTATTTATATACTAATTATTTTTTTCTACTATAAAATGTATTTTTTATACTTTCATAGGCTTTTGTTTTTGTTTGGTGGGGGTAACTATTTGGCCGTAGTTTGAACCTCAGCAGGTGCTACCACCCCGGGTCAGAGTGGACCTGGGAACAACAGCAATTAAGAGGTGATACCACGCTTCTCAAAACCGCCAATCAGAGGCCTCGTTGACGGATGTAGTTTATCGTCAGACCCAGGACTATTTGGGGGGAGATAATGATGATTTAGTGATGCAAGTTCTACTAATTCACCCATAGCTGGAGGGAGAAGAGGTTGTTTCAAACCTTTCCCAAAGGATATTTGCACGTAAGTGAATATAACGAACCCAACTGGAATTGAAACTCGGCTATCCGTTTAATAATTCAGAGCCATTATCCATTACACACAACTGCACATCCAAGCTTAGAGCACTTGATCTTCCCAAACGGTCACCCATCTAGGTATTGACCAGACACGACGTTGCTTAACTTCGGTGATCATACGGGAAGGTAGTTTTAGCGAATAGCAACGAATGCATATCCACTGTCTGATATAAAAAGGATCATCGCTCTTCACATTTTTTTTTTTATACCTGTAAATATTTTAAGTACAAAAGTTCACGAAATACAAGGCAAGAGAGCCACTCAATGTAGAGGGTTACTGTTAAAGTGTTTATGATGAATAAGGTGCACCATGTGCAAAAAGAAATGAGGTGGTTGGAAGTGAAGATTATAAGGAGGATAAAAAAAAATCGATTGACCCTTAACTCGAAGCGCCTAAGATACTCGTATTCAAGTAAGCATCCACGTGGGAGTCTGTTAGACAAAGTAGCAGACCGACATGAAATACTAAATAAACAATCAGATCGATCGATCGTAAGATCACGAATCCCGTGACCCATCAGGGTTGTAGGGGAATCACATGCACTTCAGCCGCAGTAGAAATGGTGTTTCGTGGGCAAGATAGTCTGAGGGGCCCAACCCTCTCCAGGCCAGAAACGATCATAACTTATCTCAAAAGCCAGTTGCGAAAACAAATATTTACTATGTTAAAAATATTTACCATATTAAAAATATTTACTATGTTAAAAATATTTACTATATTAAAAATATCTATTATATTAAAAAATATTTACTATATTAAACATATTTATTATATTAAAAATATTTACTGTTAAAAATATTTACTATATTAAAAATATTTACTCTGGTATAAATATTTACTATGTTAAAAGTATTTACTATATTAAAAATATTTACTATGTTAAAAAATATTTACTATATTAAAAATATTTATTATATTAAAAATATTTACTGTTAAAAATATTTACTATATTAAAAATATTTACTCTATTAAAATATTTATTATATTAAAAATATTTACTATATTAAAAATATTTATTATGGTAAAAATATTTACTATGTTAAAAATATTTACTATATTAAAAATATTTATTATATTAAAATATTTACTCTTAAAATATTTACTGTATTAAAAATATTTACTACATTCAAAATATTTATTATATTAAAAATATTTACTATATTAAAAATATTGACTATATTAAAATATTTACTATATTAAAATATTTACTATGTTAAAAATATTTATTATATAAAAATATTTATTATATTAAAAATATTTACTATGTTAAAATATTTACTGTATTAAAAATATTTACTATGTTAAAAATATTTACTATATTAAAAATATTTACTATATTAAAAATATTTAATATGTCGAAAAATAACACGAATTCTTTGTAAAATATCATCATATAAAATACAAATAGACGCACGATATCAGCGCGATTCGATTATGAAAAATTATGAATCTTAAGCTTCAGGTTCCCAAAGGTCAGAGGAAAACCTGTAGCAACATTGTTTTTAATGAATGAATTTTTCAACAAAATAGTTTTTTAATTGTTTGTGATTAAAATCGGTCCGCTGATTGGATTTCCGGCTTCGATACCCACATTTCTTGCTTGCATTGTAAACTTATGAAAAAAAATATGACAAAGGATATTTGTATGAGCAGGGGTCGGCAACCTAGTGCAGCGTGCCACACGCAGCACACCAAGCAATTTCCAATGGCACGCAGCCGCAAGTGACATAACAAAGTCAAAACCAATAACTACGACAACTCAAAGAAGATATTCAGCTGTTTCAATTTTAATATATACTTAACTAAAGTATGAAGAAAAATATATGGAAAAACAAAAATCCGAATATGCAAGTATGCTGTTTTAATGTTATTTCAATGTCGACGTCAGACGTTTCGGTCTAGTAGACCTTCTTCAGGACATAGTTATTAAAACATAATTAACATTAGACGATATTCAAGTCAACATGAAAAGACTTGAGACATAAGAGTAAGACTAATCAAAACAGAATAACTGACATTTTTAAGATCAGCGTTCCGTTTAAAAATTTTCAGTTTCCTGCCTATGAGATGTTAGGATCACTGTGCTTGGTTTTTATTTATTGCTCGGTGATGAGAAATTAGGGTTCTGTAGGAAATTCAGTCGTCCAGAGTTTTTTTTTAATATTAAGCACCCGAACGTTCGAATTCCAATATATATATATATATATATATATATATAATACGCCACGGACACACACATACTCACACACACACACACACATATATATATGTAAGTTTTTTGTGTGCAACAATTGAGTGGCAGTGAGCAAAATTATGACATGAGACGCACAGAAGTCAAGACCCCATTCATGTCCACACGCAAAAAGCTATCGTGCTGACAAGCTAAAGATTGCGCCAAACAAAGGGCGACACAGTTCACAGTAAGAGCTAAATTTTAACTATTTTTTTTTTTTTTGTGGTGTGTGTGTGTGTGTGTGTGTGTGTATGTGTGTGTAACAATCTCCTTCTTTCTCCAGCCTCTGAAATTACGGATCGAATCTACGGACTGTCAAAGCTCAGACCTTCAAAGTTTACACAAAAAATATACTTTGGGAAATACATGTAACATTTATGAAGATAAAATACGAATAGCTTTCCTGAGGTGTTTATAAATTGTACAATGTTCAATTATTAATTATTATTATATATATAATTATATATATTTATATGTAATATATATATAATTATATATTATATATATATATATTATTTTAATTATTAACGTTAACAACGAACTATTTTAAATTACAAAATTGTACTTGGATTAAACGAAAATTACTTACAATATAATACACATTACTTATAATACATTCCTTCTTGCCGTCACTAGTAATAAAATAAAAATAAAGAATACATGGTTATTCCTGTTAAATAAATCTTTTGTATTTACAAACATATGTACATGATTTCAAAAGAGTGAAAAAAAATGTCTCTACCTGAGTTAAATTTAGTTGGTACAGAAAAATCTAAAGTTTAGAAAAGAATTTGATCGTCAGCGAAGATTCACTGACCGTCTCTGCTCTGTTGTTTGAGAAGATACGTTTGAAGTGGCCGACATATGTTTCTTTTAGTACGCGCTGTGGTGTGGCGGGGGGAGGTAAAAAGTATGTACCCACCTCATTTCTTGCGTTTGAACGGCTTGGCGGCGGTCGCATCTCTGCTCGCTGAAATCTGTGAATTTTTTTTCCCCGAATGTAGACTTGAGAAAAATAGGGTTTGTTGTTTTTTCTTAGTGATCAAGTATTTGACATGTTGATGTTAATTTCTAACGAATAAACACTGATTTAAACGGTGAGTGTTGTATTACGAAATCTTTTTGCCATGTTTGTAATATTGCCTGCATTTGGATAGAAAATAATTTGTTTTTAATATGCTATGCATGTGGGTAAGTAATTGAGTTGGAAACGGCATTCTTTGATAATTCTTCAAGAGGAGCTTACATATTTCAAAACAAAGCAAAAATAATGGCGCTTTTTTGGCCTGAGAATTTAAGTCCTTGTAATAACCAGGATGTCATGTAATAAAGGTATTGCAGTGCGCATGAACAGTTTCAAATTCAAAAGGCGCAAAATGTAAAGGTTCATGAAGAAGCGTTAATTTCGTTGGGACAATAAACTTCATTTTCGGAGGAGGGTCTATTTTCTTTTTTGGCATCGAGTCGCCTTACGCGACGACAGAAAGCGAAGGTATTTGCGAGCTATTTATGTTTATGTGAAAAAGAAATAAAAAAAGAAGATAAAGAAATGAAAAGATTGGCAGCTCAAATGTTGATTGTAATAAAAAATGAATAAAACCGTCGGACATTTTATTGCATTGACGTTTGATAAAAAATGTAAAAGGATTTCGACAAAGGTTATCACAAGATATGACAGATAGATAGATAGATAGATAGAGAGATAGATTGTTATCTATCTATCTATCTATCTATCTATCTATCTATCTATCTATCTATCGAGAGAGAGAGAGAGAGAGAGAGAGAGAGAGCGAAAGATAGAGATAAATATATAGATAGATTGTTATATCTATATCTATATCTACAGAGACAGAGAGAGAGAGAGAGAGAGAGAGAGAGAGTGAGAGAGTGAAAAAGACATAGAGAGATACGTATATATATAAATAGATAGATAGAGACATATTGTTATCTATCAATCTATCTATCTACATATATATATATATATATGTGTGTGTGTGTGTATATATATAGGTAGAGAGAGAGATTGTTATATCTATATCTATATATATGTATATATAGAGAGAAATAGAGAGAGAGAGAGTGAGAGATTGATGAAGACATAGAAAGATAGAGAGATAGGTATATATATATATATATATGTAGATAGATAGAAATATATATATATATTTCTATCTATCTATATGTATATATATAGATAGATAGAATATATATATATATATATATATATATATATATAATATAAATGTATATATATGGCACCTCGACGTGGTGTAATTGTTCGAAAGATGGTCTTGCTGTATCAATTACGAATGAGTTCGATCCTCACTGGGTGCCCCATACTTTCGGCTTTGTTCCACATCTAAGCTGCACTTAGCAAATTATATATATATATATATATATATATATATATATATATATATATATATATATATATTCACGCGCGCGCACAGTGCGATGGATAAATTGTCGTCTACATTATGCAAAAATGAAAATAACATTGACATCTCATTTTAACAGATATATTACCAGAATTACAGAAACATATCTTGAAATACTAAATAGCAAATTTATTCAATAAAATCGCCATTGCCTTCTGCCACGGCCTCTAGACGACTTCGGAATCTCTTGTAACTCTTCTGGACAGTCTCCTTGTTTTAGTTGGTGAATGCTGCCATAATCCTTGTCTTCAGTTCATCTTTGTTATTACAAGGAGTTTTGTTCCTCTCTCGCTCAACTGCGCCTTACACAAATTAATCAAGGGTGTCTGCAGTCTGGGGATTTAGGTACCCAAATCTAAGCGGTGATGTGGTTGCAGAAATTGTCTGACAGACATGATTAGGTTTTTCTGCTTGTGTGGTATGGTGCAGATTCCTCTTGACAGACATAGGGTCTTTCAGCAGCCACCCTCTTGACTAAGGGTTGTACTACCTACTCTTGATGCTGGATTCCGTGTTGAGACCGAGGCTTTCATCAACAGATTCCGGAGTTCTTTTCTTATCAGAACGATAAGGGTATTTTTTTCTGATCTGCCGCACCTTCGTAATCACTATTTGGCTCATCCAACTCTTTTCGAAATCTCTGCACTACCCTCAGATTGACACCCAAACACTCTGAGATCTTCGTATAGGAGCTTCTGGTGCAAATGCCAAGCAGTACAGTATGCCGTTTCCAAATTTCTGGTGGAGTGAATTGCGTCATGGTGCTCTTTTTCTCACAGACGGTGCTCAACTGAGCCTTCGACAACAAAATAAAAAAAAACAACAACAAACGCGCATGCACGAAAGTAAAAGTATAAAATGGCCATATTTTACCCATTGCGCCATATATATATATATATATATATATATATATATATATATAGAGAGAGAGAGAGAGAGAGAGATAGTGTGTGTTTGATTATGAACGTATGGACGGGGGGTATTCATGACACATCGGTTCTTCTATATTTTACCCATTGCACCATATATATATATATATATATATATATATATATATATATATATATATATAGAGAGAGAGAGAGAGAGAGAGAGAGAGAGATGGATGGAGAAACAGAGAATACATGTGTGATTATGGACGTATGTACGGAGGGGGGATTCGCGACACACTGGTTCTTTCATATTTTACCCATTGCCCCATATATATATATATATATATATATATATATATATATATATATAGAGAGAGAGAGAGAGAGAGAGAGAGAGAGAGAGAGAGAGAGTGTGTGTGTGTGTGTGTGTGTGTGTGTGATTATGGATGTGTGGACGGAGGTGGGATTCAAGACACGGTTCTTTCATAACGAGCATAGTACCAAAGATCTTTTTAGCGAAATTAACTTCTGATCAAACGATCCGATTATAATGTAAAACGCAATTTTAATGGCACATCGACTTTTGTATAATGGTCACATAGTGCTAAAAAGATACTTTTGAATATTTTCCTATATCTTTTTTTTTACCTCAGCGATGTTTATATTTTACTAGCGAGACCTCTGAAATTCCACGGGTGTTGACAACTGAGTTTGACCATTATCACCGTAACGTTTCCATACAAAAGTAATTCTCATAGATTCAATAATAAACGACCAATATTTACCTATCATCAAATAAAGGTTCAATATTTACCCAAATCAAATAAATGCATTTAGACTCAAATATGAACGACAAATATTTACCTATCCGTGAACCATGTCAATGTTTACAGACTCAAAACAATGCTAATAATAATAATAATAATAATAATAATAATTATAATAATAATAATAAGTAAATGGTGCCTCCTTATTGATATGGCAGTCCCTGCTGACTGCAATGTATCTTTGAAGATATTCAAAAAGCTGTCAAAATACAAGGACCTTGAAATAGAAATCTCGAAAATGTGGCATATGGGAACATCAACAATCCCTGTTGTAGTTGGAGCCCTAGGACTGGTTGGAAAAGATTGCAGTAGACTAATTGAAGGGATTCCTGGAAGTCCTTGCCTCAAGGAGATACAAAAAATTGTTCTGACAAGTACAGCCCACACTTTACGAAGGGCTTTATCTATGTAATTTCTTTTTTTTTTTTTTTGTCAGTGGAAAGTGTCATGCTGCCATTTCTAACCTTAGGTCCCTAAGCGGGACCCGGAAAGAAATAACGCCAAAATCAAAGAAAATAATAATAATAAAAATAATAATAATAATAATAATAATAAGAAGAAGAAGAAGAAGAAGAAGAAGATGCTATCAATTAAATGGCATTTATCATATAAGGCCTAACGACCATAATTTGGACCCGGCTCTACAAGTTACAAAGTAGGAAACATAACATGCACAATAATAATAATAATAATAATAATAATAATAATAATAATAATAATGGGTCAATATCTGCACTGGAAGAGGAAGCTCCAAGAAATTAGTATGAACACTGCCCTGACCCGGTTACGGAGATAGGACTTGTAACCATTTTATGGGACTCTAATCACCCAGACATCATGATCAGAGACCGCAAAGACAAATGTGCCTCCTTATTGGCATTGCAGTCCCTTCAAAACTATCAAAATACAAGGACCTTGAAATTGAAATCTAAAAATGTGGCACATAAGGACATCAACCATTCCAGTTGTAGCTGGGGACCTCGGATATATATATATATATATATATATATATATATATATATATATATATATATATATATATATATATTATAAAAACGTTTCTATTTTGGAAATTCGTGGTTAAAAAAAAAATCTGTTACTTCACCTCAATCATGTAATTTCATGAAATTTCCCATTTTTACAGGGTTTAATGTTTATATTAGTTATAAGGACAAGTCCTTGGAGAATTTAAAACATCATTCTTTTTTTTGTCAGACAGGATCCCCAGTAACAGAAAATCTACTCTAAATGGTAAAATAGAAAATTTAAAATTACCAAAATTAAGCAACGTCCAGCCTGGTCAGTAACTAGATGGGTTACCGTTCGAGAATACTATGTGCTGTATGCTTGGATGTGTGTGTGGTGTAATAGATAATGGCTAGGAATTGTTAAACGGAGAGCCGAGTTCAAATTCCAGTTGGGTTCGTTATATTCACTTACGCACAAATACCCTTGAATCCACATCTTCTCCCTCCAGCTATGTCTTAGTAAGACTGGTATCAGTAAGTCACTGATTTAAATAAACTGCAAAGAGTTGATAAGCCGTAAAAACAGATCAATCTATTAATAAAACAAGCCCGCAGTGAGGATCGAACACACTACCAATGATCAACCTGCTTCACCTCATTACGCATCATTCCACGCAGAGGCACCACGAATAGAGGTTTAACATATGCATTAAAAATATGTTATATGTGTGAATATACGTGTATGTGTGTTGTGTGCTTTTGCGCCAAATGTTAAAAAAATTTTTTTTAAATAATTTAATGCTTATCTCTGTTTCTGGAGATCATGAATCTTGTCTACTCTCGTTTTGGAGATAGGAAAACGAAAGCAAAAATAAACTGAACTGCAGACACCACCTCCCTGGAAGAAATAAGGCCAGAGGCACATGAAAATGTCGACATCAAAGATCAGGGAGAGCAGGTAATTCTCTTTTGGCAAAAAGCACTTGAAAAAAGATGTTAAGTGTGTTAAATAAAATAAGCCAGATGAAGGCATAAACAGTCTGAGATAGATAGATAGATAGATAGATAGATAAGAACAGAATGAGAGATATTTCAAGAGTAAGCTACACAAGGTTACGGTTAGCTTGTTCGCTAATTCTGAAAAATAGATATATAAATATGATCAGATAGATAGATATGAACAAAATGAGATAGATAGATAGATAGATAGATAACAGAATGAGATAGATAGATAAGTATAGAATGAGATAGATAGATAGATAGATAGATAGATAACAGAATGAGATAGATAGATAAGTATAAAATGAGATAGATAGATAGATAGATAGATAGATAGATAGATAGATAATAACAGAATGAGATAGATAGATAGATAGATAGATAGATAGATAGATAGATAGAGTACAGACTGAGATAGATAGAAGGATTGATAGATAAGTACAGAATTAGATAGATGAGAATAGAATGAGATATTTCAAGAATAAGCTAGACAAGGTTACGACTAGCTTTTTCGCTAATTCTGAAAAATAGATACATAGGTATGAACACAATCAGATAGATAGATAGATAGATAGATAGATAGATAGATAAGAACAGAATGAAATAGATATTTTAAGAATAAGCTGGATAAGGGTGCGGCTAGCTAATTCTGATAAACAGATATGAACAGAATGAGATAGATAGAAGAAATGAATAGTCTAAAGAAATATAGGTAGATAGATAGATAGATATGAAACCTGAGTGATAGATAGATAGATAGATAGATAGATAGATAGATAGACTTTTAATCGATTTCTCCCTAAGCAAGGTAGTAAAGCCACAAAGACAAAAGGGGTTACTGGGTGTGGAAGAATTAGAAAAGAGAAACATTACTAAGGAGCAAGAAGACCAATCAGGAGGACAGTAGATAGCGATTGACATTGCATTGAACTTTTTTCTAAATAAAGTTGGTTGGAAAGTATGTAGCCGGAAGGGAGTTCCACTAGCGAGAAGTGCGAGAAAAGAAACTGTTAGCATAGAATTTACTGTTACATCTAGCCAAATGAACTGTAAATTAATGAGATCTCCAAACCAGTCTAGTACTTCGCTAAGATTCAAAGAGTTTTGACCCTATAGCGATATTTTGTAATGAATAAAAAACGTGGCACAAGGCCAAAAGGGGGAATGGGAAAAGTGAGGTCTTCTGTCTTATAATGAAACTTAGCTAGCCACAATCAATGAACCAAACATACCACAATTTTCCTGACACCATAACACCATAATACCTCCGAATGAAGTCCTTACTAGTCTCCATATGCAACATAGTGAAGATCTCGTGTGAACAATTACCATAAAAGCATTTATAGACAAGGCACAGAGAAAAAGACTGAAGCCATTAAAAGGGTCAAAACTATTGCCGATTCTTCTTTGGTATTTATCAATACAGCTCTAGGGGCACCGGACCAAATAATACAGCAATATTCTAGGCATAGACTTATAGATATATAAGACAGATTTTTTTTTATGTAGGAAACTCACAAAGCATATAATTTGTGAAGCATTTTATTAAATTACCATTCCATCTTATTTTTTCTTAGGACATGACATTGTCTGGTGTGTAAAATATGTATCCATTTACATCCGCTCATGTTTAACGTCTGTGCTGCCATTGACTGACAATCTACTGGTCATGACCCATTTATGAAAAATAATTTCTTAATTTTGCTTCTTCGCTCAGTTTAAATTTAACGATGGTTGATCAGAGTAAAGCCCACAAACCTTATAATCCCACATTTTTTTTTCGTAAAAGAGGTTGTATTTTGCTTTTAAATCTAAATAAATCGTTCAGTCGCCAGTAATTTACAATCGTCTGATGAGATGCATTGATACGCATCGAAACACGACTGTAAATGTGTAGCGATTTTGACATGTTTTTCGATGTAATATCCTTAAATAAAAAAATATTACATATAGATATATATATGAAACGGACTAAGTGTCTATAAAAATAACGTATAAGACAGAAAATATATTAATATATACATACGTACATATTATAGAAATGGACAAAGTCCGACAATTATTTTAAGACATTTTTATATTTATACATTCTTTCTATAGATACAAATATTTAAATAAATGCTCTGTTTATAATAAACAGTACTAAACAGCATTTACCAGCTTGAACGTCCGAGAAATTCCATAGAAAAATATTCGCCCTCCGACAGGAAACGAACCTGTATCCTATATGGAACCGTCATACAGCCTGACGTGTGTTTAACCGATTGGGCCACAGAGAGGGGTTCGGTTAGTAAGGTCGATTTTACTGTCTTTAAACTACAATATTCCATGATTCTCTCACGTACATTTATATCTGGTCATTTTATCCATTTCATAATGTGTGACGTCATTTGTTTACATTTGGATACGCCATGATCTAAGCTTTCGGCTCACATTGGCCATCATTAGAGTGGTTATACGGACAACAGAGATATTCACCGTCAAAGATGATATCCTGTTTTGTTTAAATAGAAGTTTGCTTTGAGACGATAACGGTTGCGGGAACTGAACAGTTTTTGTCTTTATTTTCTCTTGAAATTAAAGCCATTGTACGACGCTTGAAATATATATATATATATATATATATATATATATATATATATATAAGAGGGAGAAATTATAGTAGTTCCAACGAGAGAAAAGTGTGTATATAAAGAAGAGAGAAACCGCAAAAGTTTTTGGTTGTAATATATACAGGGTGTCCATAAAGTTCGTGTGTGCACTTAAAAAAATTTATAACTTTATTTGTATTTACGATAGAAATAATCTGTAAAAAATGTTATAAAGTTTAATGTACCTAGTTTTAAGTATAGATAAAATAACTAATGTGATTTCAGGCATTATTATAAATCAGTTGCCAAATGTTTCCCGTGAACTGCAAAATCGTATTACCCTTTGTATTGCTAATGTTGGAGGACATGTGGAAACTTAAATAAAATTTCTATAAAACCTTAAAAAATATAAATTTACTTCTTTCTAATCCTTTTTACAAATTATTTCTATCGCATATACAAATAAAGTTATAAATTTTTTGAAGTGCACACGAACTTTATGGACACCCTATATATATGTACGAGCCCGTGTCCGAATGGTTAGAACGTTGTCTTTCTGACTCTGGTTCGAATCTCATCCTGGTCGACTTGCCTGGAAGGTGACTTCCTGATGTTATCGGTGTGTTGTCCCTTTGGAAAGTGCCTGAGAACCATACCACGCGTTGATCCAAGCCTTGTGAGTGAATTTGTGAGGCGTCGATGGCTGTGCTAAGTCATCGGAGTCACAAGTCATCGTGATCGAGTGTATGAACGTGCCAGCCTTGTTCGGACTGTTGCTCACGCTAGATACTGCGATCTCTCCCAGAAACTGTAACTCAGCATAGTTGCAGTATAAGCCACAAGTGGGCTCTGTTGGTATTGAAAAAATGCAAAGGTGCTTGGCAGGTGCCGGCAACAGGGATTAGCTAGTCGTCCTAGTAGACGGGCTTCCTCAAATATGAGTGGCCAGCCATCCGGTTTGAAGCTAATAGATTAAATTTAATATTTCCAATAAGCAAAATATTTGTTTTTTAAACCGAAGTTAAATTGATTAGAATAAGATCTTTTAATCGCTAAAAATGGATGATTTTTCCCATATTTGCAAGTACAATGTAATTCTCTTAAAACATTAAAAAAAAAAAATACTTTACTTTTTTGAAATTTTATTTGAGGAAGATTAGCTGATTTAAAGTTTAATTAATCTGATTTTAAACAAAAATTAAATAATTTAAAATATCGTTGAAAAAACATTTTTAACATAGATTTGGGTGTTTTTATGAAGTACTGATAAATATCTCGATATTTTTATGTTTGGGAATATTTCCGTAACATAACGTAAACAAAGATAATTTTTTTTAGAAAATGGATTAAATCCGACATATTTTTAATTTATTTGTTTAAGCCTTATTTTAAATGGATACTCATGTTTGAGTAGATGGTCTGTTTTTATTTATTTATTAAACGCGATATTTATTTATTTACATTTACCAGCCTAAATATTCGAGAAACAGATTAGAAAAATAAGAGCCCTTCAACAGGATTCGAACCTGCGCCCCCTTGGGAGAAATCGTCTTTGGATTTGACGTGCCTTAAATCACTCGCTGTCGAATCTTATATGTGTTGTTCTTGTCCTAAGTATTATCGTTCATTGCCAATCTTCGTGTGATTATTCTATTTAGTAACCTTCCCTAGGTTACAACAATATATATATATATAATTTTATTTTTATATATCTAAGTTTGTTTATGTATGTGAGAAACATTATATAGCAACGATGGCATTATGAAAACAATAAAAGATATCAGTGGTAAACAATCGCTGAATTAAACAAGTCGCTGAAGATCGAAAACAGGAAGGCGAATTTCCTTCCACGCAAAATGTGAAACAACTAAACGCAGATAATCATTTCTCAGTTTCCCGCTCATAATTTTCATTGTGAGCCTGTAAACTTCCTCCAACTTCCGTATTTATTTCATTCCTTTCAGATAACAGATTTGATTTTAACGACGTTCATTAATTTCTCCTTTTTCATTCGCTCTGCTAAACTGACATTTTCCCCCAGCATTTCTCACGGATTAACTCCCGGATTCAACTTTTCGTACCTGTTGGCCGATGTGATCGTTTTTTTTTTTCATTTTTTTTTTTTTTTTGACCCCTTCGTTTCCCATAAGCAGATGAGCGATCATCGCCACAGGATCAAAATACAAGCAGCTCAAATTCATTAGCAGTGTCGTATTCGGTTCAAAAATTTCTAGAATTGGATATTAGTTTATTTGCTAAATCAGACCCCCACTCCCGGAAACACTGTATCTCACACCACAGTCACTTTAAAAAGAAAAAAAAAATGAAAATGAATCCTGCATTGTTGAAAACGTAAAGAGAACATTATCACCAGAAAAGCAAGCATTTTTATCGTCATTTGATCTCAATAAACGCTGGACAGAGTCCCGAAGTTTAAATTTAAACGAATTCGGCAGTCTAAAAGATATGACGCTATAGTCAACAGTAACGCGCTCGTAAATCCTGCAGCGACATCTGGTGCTATTTAGAGGTACAAAATGAACGACACACCTCTTAAGGCTATAAACAGTGGTTTACATAGAAGTAGAAGATGAAATCCCCAAATAAATAGTAATGGTCCATCATCAAATAACAAGTGCTAAATTTCTCCAGTCTTGATGAGCGGTTGTAATCTCAATGGTGCTTGGTTGACCTGAACGTCTATTGAGATTCAAATTCACCCTAGATCTCAAGCGAAACTCATTTATACGATCCATCGCTAAAGATACAGGAAAAAGGGGCGGTTCTTTTTGCTGCTACAGAAGGTACCTGACACCTCCTGTCATGCTCCATCTTTATGGGTCAGATCAGACCAAGTTGAATATTGCTGGCATATCTGGGCTGGAGTTGCCTATTCCTCGCTTTCTAGTGTTGACAGAGCTACGCTACCTTGTGGGTGATGGATTATTTTCCAATTTCCAATCTATTACCCTATTTTCATGGCAAATGTTCACACAAGCTCCATTCCTTAGTCGCACTAGTTCAGACATTCACATCTAGGACCCACCATGCCACGTACACAATCTCGACTCGTTCGTTTTGTATTCTATTTGTAAGGAGGAAGTTTCAACCAGACAACTTCTTCATCAGAAGTATAACTTTTTGGGGAGCTGTGTCACGTACACACGTACGTATATATATATATATATATATATATATATATATATATATATATATATATATATATATATATATATATATATATATATATATATATATATATATATATATATATATATATATATATATATATATATATATATATATATATATTACATGAATCATTTATACAAAAAACAGATTAGTGAAGTTAATGATATAAATGGCGAGAATACATCTTCGCAAACAAATTTATTAAAATTACATTAACCCACGAACCTCAAGATGAATGTTATGATCCCTGTTTTTAATAAATTCAACTTGTATAAGGTCTTTTTTGCTAGTATTTTCATCTGTTCATATAGACATCATCAGGCATGGAAATTAATTTTTTTTTTTTTAATACATCCAAGTAAAACTGGATACGAAAAAAACAAACGTGAAAACCTTGAGCACCACAGAAATGTTCGAAGTTGATAGACATGCGTGGGCTTAGATGTATAGCTAGCTAGCTAGATATTAACTAACATTTAGATCCAGATAGATAGATAGATAGATAGATAGATAGATAGATAGATAGATAGATAGATAATGAAGAGACTGAGATAGATAGATAGATAGATAGATAGATAGATAGATAGATAGATAGATAGATAGTAAAGAGGCTGAGATAGATAATGAAAAGACTGAGATATATAGAAAGATAGATAATAAAGAGGCTGTGATAGATAGATAGATAGATAGATAGATAGATAGATAGATAGATAGATAGATAGATAATGAAAAGACTGACCTAGCTAGCTAGATATATAGCTAGCTAGATAGAGAGATATGAAGAGACTGAGATAGATAGATAGATAATAGATAGATCAGATAGATGGATGCATTCCTCTTGGATGGAAGTATGTGTTAATATACTACTGATAAAATAAGACATTTTCTAAACATTACCGTCTGAACGACATAAATTCATTAAAACATTAACAGTTTTGATTAATGTTGTCTCAAGGTTATTCAAAGTAAACAATATATAAATAAATAGATTTTGAAACCACTAAAGCGATGAAGGCTGTCTTCCTCCGCAAAAGAAAAAAAAAACAGTAAAATTTAACCGAAGTATATAAATGAGAAAGGTTTTATGAGAATGTTAACAGCCGATAGTAGCAGACATTTTAACATGGCTTCTATTGATGGCACCAGGCGCTATATAGACAAGAATCATATCAGGGGAAATGCAAAAAACAAAAACTTTTCTTAGATATGGAACTACGTTTTTGTATGACGTTCTTGTTACATCAAGTAGATAAAAGCAACAAATTTAATAATCTCATAAATTGATTCATTATCCCCTTGCACAGACAGGCACGTGATATTTATATCAGATACAGCTGCTAGCTGCTGAAAAGTTATCGGCCTGAACCATTGCGCTTAATCAAAATTCTGATGTTTGTTCAATGAAATGCTGATTTTGGGATGCACTTCAAGCCAAAGAATTTTTCAGCACCGCCCCGTATATATTATTTTCGTCGCCTCACGCTTCTTCTTCTTCTTCTTCTTCTTCTTCTTCTTCTTCTAAACTCTTTCTCCCCACTAAAGTCTTCACATTTCCTTTCAATACCAGGAACCCCCTTGCGTCTTAGTGGCATTAACGCCTTGCTTGGGGGGAGGGGGGAAATGATAAAAAAACGACCCCCCCCAAAAAAAAACACCTGCATTTATACTGCGTCTTTCATCTTGACAAAATCTATGGTCAGGTCAACAAACTCGAATGGAATACGGTCTTCTTTATTATGTGCAGTGTCCCTTCAGGACGTTGGCGATCAAGGCTCTCCACAATTTCCTATTCTTTGTAGCTCTTAATAAATTTTATTTTATTTTTTTGTTATCTCACCTAAATCTATTTCCGCCATCAAGCTCTCTAGGTAGCTTATGCGTTGTTTTCCTCTGTCCCTCTTGCCTTTAATCTGGCCTGTGAGTATCAAATTTTCCAAGCCCTCTTTCCTCATTATGTTCTCTAGAAATTTCAACTCTCTTTCGGGTGATGGATGGGAACAAAAGGGATTCTTATACTTAAATATCCCTTTTGTCCTTTTTTTCTCTAAAACTTTGTCGTTGCACACATGTTCGGTCCATGGTATTCTCATCATCCTTCTGTAGGGCCACATATTTATAGCTTCAAGTCCCTTTTTTAGAGGAGATTGTTCAGCATTTGGTAAAGAGGACTTATATTACGTAACAGCTCAGTACTCTTTTCATTGTCTCTAACGGATTTTTTGTTTCCTAATACTTTGCTTTTGAAAGGCAACTTTCGCTATCTTGGATTTCTGTGTCGCACTTTCCGTCCTCAGAGCATTGCCCAGATATTTAAATTGTTGTACTTGTTTGATTGTGGTATCTCCAATTTGTAATTTGCATGTTAGGCTCCTCCTTTTGCTAACAGCAATGCATTATTGACGTTTAGTCCTTTCTTCGCGCTTTCCTTAATTACTACCTGTAGGAGTTTTTGTAGTTTTCTTTTCGTGTCTACTACCAACATTGCGTCATCTTCATATCGTATGTTGTTAAGATTGTGGCAGCCAATAATGAAACCTGGCTGTACTTTTAATTATCTCAGAATCACCTCATTGTATATGCTGAATAAGTCCTGTGAGATAACACACCCTTTGTCCTAAACAGCTTTCTATTTTTCTACATGTGCCATGCGTGATAAACTCTTAAGCGATCATGTATCTTTCGATAAATGACTAACGAGGCAGATTTTTTTCCCGCAGTAGGTTGACATTTCTTTCTGCGGTAGACTAGTTGCCATCCAAAGCTATAGCACCTGGTCTCTCCTGCTATTTACCCATAGCTAGGGGGAGAAGAAGATTCATACATTTCTCAAGGTAAGTAAATGTAATGGATTCGACTGGAATTCGAACTCGGCTCTCCGATTCCTCAGTCTTGTCATATAGAACATAAATGAATGGAATCGCCCGTTTACATAAATAGGCGGAGTTAAGTGGAGTTGAAGAGAGCTATCATTAAGTTTTAGCCGCTTGTCGAACTCTCACGAACACCCAGGCGAGGCTATGCCGAAGAGCAGAGTCTCATCTGGGAAGGGAATTCTCCAATTCCGGACGTCGGTAAACGCAGAGAGAAAATGAACAATTCGCAGACACAGAACAACAGAAGACAACACGAGAATATATAATACAAAGATTTTATTTCTAGAATACACGGAGTGTGAATGTAAGAAAAAGAAAAAGAAAACTAAATAATACAAGGGATGGGGAGATAAGTTACCAATTATTAAACAGATACTAATGCGGCGAAATTCATATGAATACGGAAATAGCAGATTATAAGATATGGAAAAACATGCAGAAACTTACATAAGGTTGGAATCGACGTCGATTGACTATTATCGGGGTACAATTTGTTCAAAGGATATTTATACACTTCTTTGAAAGTAACGGATGGGATTGACAATGTTCTAACATGAATTCTTGACTGGCGACGTCCAATCCGGGTTGATGGCGAGGAGAACACACAGAAAAATCACGGGAATGTAGCCGACTTGGGTTGACGATGTTGATCTACAATCTCGCGTTGGTCCTTTGGTTTTTGGTGGCATCTAATTCTTCTAATGGCGAATAGCTAAGACCAGTTTTTGGTGACGCCCGACTCCTCTGATAGCCAGCAACTATGTGTGTTTGTTGTTACCTCAACACGTGCGAAACGAAAACTGCTATATTTTGAGTCACGTGTTGGCCCCCAAAAAAGGTATGCGTCATTCACGGACCCTGTTAATATCATCTACCTGTCAAACAGCGTTTGTTTTGGCCAGCGACTATGGAACTGGTTAACATCATTCACACCTATCTGTCAAACAGCGGACCAGGTTGAAGATGGGGGTAGAAGGGAAGGTTCTTTTCCGAGAACTGGCCCTGACTCATCTGGTTATAAAAACAATATATATCTCACAATCTGCATATTTAAGAAATAAAGAAGTTAAGATTCATATGTTTCGTCGCAAATACAAAAGGTACTGAAATGTACTTATAAAATCTGAGGTGAGGGTACAAATATGGGGTTAACGTAACAATATATATAAAGAGAGATTGACTATGAGAAAACCAGTTGTACGTTTAAATTTTTAATTTGTTGACATTTATTTATCATAAACAAACGAAGAATTATTGAATCAGCTCTAACATAACCATTCAATTCGATAAAGAAAAAAATCAGATTTTATAACCTTTTCTAAGATAATTCTTAAAGAAAATTATATTAAAATAAATACTGATTGAACACTTTAATATTTATTTTTTTAACACTTTTTATTTTAATTTAATTTTAAATTTTCCAAAACAACATTCTCATAAATTGTAATTTGAATTCCATGTTTTCACTATTTTCATATCTGTATATTTACTCAGAGATGGATTCATACGTTTCTTAAGTGAATTCAGTGAACTCGACTTGAATTCGAACTCGGCTCTCCGATTACCGCAATCGAATACTCCAACATGCCTCCGTAAATTAGCAGTTATGTCTACGCAAATAGGCAAGTTCTAAATTTAAATAAGTTTCTTAAGCATTTCTCCACATCCCAGATTTTTTTTAATTGAGAAAAGGAAAAAACAAACAAACAAACAAACAAAAAAAAAAAAACAGTTTTATATGGAAAAAAATGAAATGAAAAATAAAAAATTTCAAACCCAAATATCTTTCGGCTCATCGCCAGAGGATAAACATGATTGAAGAGAAAAAATGCGTCAGTGTTCTTATTTCGCAAACGTATAGGAAAGAAACGCTATTTCCAACACGATTACATACCCACATACATATCATATTAAAACACACCCAAACTTTATTTTCTCCTCAATAACAGACAATATTTGCAAACATGACAAAAAGATTCCACAACACAGCATACACCGTCTAAATCAAAGTGTCTATTGGTCAGAAATTTATATCACCATGTGAAATATTTGACCAATCAGAAAATACTAAAACCCAATTTTTCTTTAGCCTACTTCTCGAAAATATACTTTCCTATAAACCCCAGCAAATTTTGACTTTCAGCAGCAGAGATGCGACTCTCTCTGAACTGTTCAAACACGAGAGAAGACGTGGCTAGATAGCCTTTTCCTTCCCGCCAGCGCTTGCTGAAATTTGTATCGGCGACCGTAAACGTATCATCTCCAACAATAACAGTTCCTGTTGTTGTTGGAGATGATTCGTTTGAAGTCCATGAGTCTTTTTTTTTTTTAACCACAGCGTTTTATTATGGACCAATTACTTAAAAGTCTCTTCTCAACCACAGATATTTACTGTGAACTAACTACTTAAAAGTGTTTTCTCAAACGCAGCTTTGACTGTGCTTCAAAAGTCTTTTTTCAACCACAGTTTTGACCGCAAAACAACTATCCAAAAACTTTAACTCAACTAAAGATTTTTTTACTTCTTTTTGACTCTATTGAATTCATGTAAATATGTTTGTAAATACAAATGATTTATTTAACAGAAATAAACATGTTTTCTGTACTTTTATTTTATTACTAGTGTACTCGTCCCGTCAAAATTGACGGCAAGAAGGAATGTATTATAAGTAATATGTATTATATTGTAACTTATTTTTGTTTAAACCAACTACAATTTTGTAATTTAAAATAGTTTGTTGTTAACGTTAATAATTAAACAGTGTACAATTTATAAACACCTAAGGAAAGATATCCGTATTTTATCCTCATAAATGTTACATATTTACAACCAAATTTTTTTTTTTACTGCAAACGTTCCCAAAGCATAATATTTTTTGAGTAAACTTTGGAAGGTCTGAGTAATGCTTGATTGTGCGTAGATTCGATCTGTACTTTCAGAGTCAGGGGAAAGAAGGGGATTGTCACACACACACACACACACACACAGAAGATCCGATTTCGACTTTTA